CAACAGAGGCCTTGCCCAGAATCAGAGAGGTTCCAAGTAACCAATAATTCTGGGATGCTGGGAGCTAAAGATGGGCTCTCAGGACTCGGGAGGATCACTCAAGAAGAGGATCAAGGCTGGGCGTGGTGGCTCACACTTGTAGTCCCACCACTTTGGGAGGCTGAGGAGGTGGTCAAGAGATTGAGACTATCCTGGCCAACAAGGTGAAACCCCACCTCTACTAGAAGTACTACCAGCATGGCAGTGCGCACATGTAGTCCCAGCTACTCGGGAGGCTGAGGCAGGAGAGTTGCTTGAATCAAGGAGGCAGAGACTGCAGTGAGCTGAGATTCCACCACTGCACTCCAGCCTGGGAACAGAGTGAGACTGTCAGGAAGAAGAAGGAGAAGGAGAAGGAGAAGGAAAAGGAGAAGGAGAAGGAGAGGAAGAAGAAGAGAATCAAAAGCCATTACTAGGGTGGACTACTTGTTAGAAAACTGGTATCAAATAGGAAGCAGTCACATCACGACTATTTGCTTTACTCAAATATGAGACGCCAACAGAGCTATCCTGATAAGCAATAAAACGTCTCCCCCTTCTCCCTTTCTCTTCCTCTGCCCTCTCTTTCTTCTCCATTGACTCTCTTTCCCTCCCTTCCTTCCTTCTTTCCTTCTTTCTTTCTTTCTCTCTCTCTTTCTTTCTTTCTTCTTTCTTTCTTTTCTTTTCTTTTCTTTCTTTCCTTCTTTCTTTCTTCTTTCTTTCTTTCTTCTTTCTTTCTTTTCTTTTCTTTCTTTCCTTCTTTCTTTCTTCTTTCTTTCTTTCTTCTTTCTTTCTTTCTTTCTTTCCTTCTTTTCTTTCTTTCTTTCTTTCTTTCTTTCTCTTTCTTTCTTTCTTTCTTTCTTTCTTTCTTTCTTTCTTTCTTTCTTTTCTTTCTTTCTTTCTTTTTCTTTCTTTCTTTCTTTCTTTCTTTTGAGGTGGAGTTTTGCTCTTGTAGCCCAGGCTGGAGGGCAGTGGCCCTATCTGACTGCAACCTCTGCCTCCAGGGTCTAAGCAATTCTCCGGGATTACAGGCACCCGACACCATGCTCAGCTAATTTTTTGTATGTTTAGTAGAGATGGGATTTCACCATGTTGGGCAGGCTGGTCTCGAACTCCTGACCTCAGGTGATCCACCCGCCTTGGCCTCCCAAAGTGCTGGGATTACAGGCATGAGCCGCCCCGCCTGGCCTCCTCCATTGACTTTCTTTTAGATAAATGCTTTATTTTTGCAAAATGATACCTTCTCACAGTAAAATATTCAAAGAACATTGAAAAAGACAAAGGGGAAAAAAGCCTAAATCGCTTGACTTCTAATCACCTGAAAGGTAACTACTGTTAACCTTTTTGTAGCAGTGTGTGTGTGTGTGTGTGTGTGTGTGTGTGTGTGTGTGTCTTTTAAGGCTTTAACAGCCTGGGCATGGTGGCTCATGCCTGTAATCCCAGCACTTTGGGAGGCCAAGGCGGGTGAATCACCTGAGGTGGGCAGATCTCCTGAGGTCAGGAATGCAAGACCAGCCTGGCCAACATGGTGAAACCCTGTTTCTACTAAAAATACAAAAATTAGTGGGGTGTGGTATTGCATGCCTATCTTCCCAGCTACCTGGGAGGCTGAGGTGAGAGAATCACTTGAATCCAGGATGTGAAGGTTGCAGTGAGCCAAGATAGAACCACTGTACCCCAGCCTGGGTGACAGAGTAAGACCCTGCCTCAAAAATAAAATAAAGCTTTCACAGAGCATAACACACTTGGAGCAAACTGCACAAATCATTTGTGTGCCGCTGGATGCACACCTGTGTACAGCAAATTGAAAATCACAGTCTAGCCAGCACCCAGAGGGTGCCCCTCCATGAATATACCCCCAAACCATGAATGCTGACTTATTTCTCACTTCTGGGGACACCTTGGTTGATGTCCTCTCAAACTTTTATGAAACACCTGTGATCTTAAAAACAAACCTGGTAACGACCGACCATGCCTTCCCAAAATCAGAAATGCAAAAACAGCCCACATACCACAACTTAATTGGCATTCCTGTCTATATGACTCACTCTGCAAAACTCTACCAGCAGTCAATGTGCTCCTGAGTCCTGGTCCACAGCCTGGCTGCCTGCTGGAGCCACCTGGGGAGCTTTAAAACTGTCAGTGCCTGGCCCCGCCCTCCAGTGTGGCTGACTTAACTGGTCCAGGTGAGGCCTGGGCATTTGTGTAAATGTATCTCTTATTTCCCCAGAAAATCCTAATGTGTCACCAAGAAGAGCACTTCTGCTCTGAGGGCTTTTTTTTTTTTTTTTTTTTTGAAACAGAGTCTTGCTCTGTCGCCAGGCTGGAGGGAGTGCAATGGTATCATCTCCGCTCACTGCAACCTCCGCCTCCCAAGTACAAGCGATTCCCCTGCTTCAGCCTCCCAAGTAGCTGGGACTACAGGCACACACCACCACACCCGTCTGATTTTTTGTATTTTAGTAGAGACAGGGTTTCACCATATTGGCCAGGATGATATGGATCTTCTGACCCCTAGTATCTGCCCCGCCTCATGATCGGCCTGCCTTGGCCTCCCAAAGTGCTGGGATTACAGGCGTGAGCCACCCGGCCCTGAGGCCATTTTTTACTATACAAATGTACTGCACATAGGACTGTGAGGTGCTGTCCTGATTTGACCCCACAGAGACCACTGTGAGGCTAGACAGAGACCAACACCCACTATGGCCAGTGTGAATGCTGGGGCTCAGGAGTTTGTGGTTCTGGGCTTGGACCTCACAACGTTGATGGGAGGTGCACCTCCTGCCTGGATCCTAGGCCTTTTCAGCCTTGGCCCAGCTCATGGGCACAAGCCAATGGATGGAACAGAGGCAGCCCAAACCCCGAGGAAATGTTCCACCATCATGGGCTTATCATCTGGGCATGAGCCTGAGGTGGCTGGGCTTGTCCAGGGAGCACAGCCTCTTAGGATGCACAGGTTGGAATCCAAGCTGGCACAGAAATGTGCCTGAACATCCATAGAATAATTCTGGAAAAACAGGCAGGAGACTGGGAGGGCTTTCCTCTAGAGAGGTGACACAGGTGGAGAGGGCTCAAGCGCCTGGATTGCCCAGATTTAGAATTTTTATTATCAAGGCTGGGCACAGTGGCCCACACCTGCAATCCTAGCAATTTGGGAGGCTGAGGTGGGTGGATCACTTGAGGTCAGGAGTTTAAGACCATCTTGGCCAACATGGCGAAACCCTGTCTCTACTAAAAATACAAAAATTAGCTGGGCATGGTGACAGGTGCCTGTAATCCCAGCTATTCTGGAGGTGGAGGCAGGAGACTCTCTTGAACCCAGAAGGCAGAGGTTGCAGTGAGCCAAGATTGCACCGCTGTATTCCAGCCTGGGCAACAGAGCAGGACTCTCTCTCACACACAAAAAAAAAAAAAATTGTTATTAGCAAAAATTTCAAACATAGAGAAGTAGCAGGAATGAACTACATTACTATTTAAAAATGATTAGGACGGCTGGGTGCAGTGGCACCCAGTGGGTTTTTTTTTTTTTTGAAGAAGGCCATTTTACTTTGGGCGTTTTAATTACATTGCTGAGGCTGGGAATCAATGCCTGGGACAGGGAAGGACAGTTATGGAAGTGGAGGCAGAGGGACGTGGGGTATGGTGGGAAGGGACATTCCTGCAGGCCTCTGCTGTAGAGGACCCCAGGTAGGTGGGCGCAGGGCATGGCTGGCGGAAGGTGGGTTAAGCTAGTGAAGCGTCTCGCGGTCATGGATGCGCAGTTGGCGCAGCCGGTGGGAGCTGCGGCCACACTGCGTGCAAGAGTAGGGCCTGGCGCCCGTGTGCACCAGCTGGTGTCGCAGCAGGTTGCAGCTGCGGCTGAAGCTCTTACCGCACTCCATGCACTCCTGTGGGGGCTCGGCCTGCTCCTGCCCAGGCTCCGCATGGGTAGCCAGGTGCCCCCGTAGGTGCGTCTTGCGCCGGAAGCTGCGGCCACATGTCTGGTAGCTGTAAGGCCGCTCGCCTGTGTGGCTGCGGCGGTGGCGGGCCAGGTTGGAGCTATTGCGGAAGCCCTCACCGCACTCGCTGCAGCTGCAGGGCTTCTCGCCCGTGTGGCTATGCTGGTGGCGGGCAAGATCCTGGGGCTGGTCAAAGCTCTTGCCGCACTGGGTGCAGTGGTGGGGCCGAGGGCCACCGTGGGTCAGCAGCTGGTGGGCCACGCTGGCCCGGCGCACAAAGCGCTTCCCGCACTGCGGGCAGGCGTAGGGCTTCTCGCCGGTGTGCACCCGTTGGTGGCTGACCCGCTGCGAGCTCTGCGTGAAGCTGCGGCCACAAGCCTGGCAGGAGAAGGGCCGCTCGCCCGTGTGCACCCGCCGGTGGGTCACCAGGTGCTCACTGAGCCGGAAGGCTTTGCCGCAGTCGCTGCACACGAAGGGCCTCCGGTCACAGTCCCGGCGGCGACTGCCGGAGCCTTCAGAGGACTGGTGGTCCTTGTCCCTGGCATGGGTCCGCAGGTGGCGCTTGAGGCTGGAGCGGCGCTGAAAGGTCTGGCCGCAGTGGGAGCACAGGACCTCGGTTGGCGGCGGCGCTTCGGCCTTGCTCTCAGGCGCGCAGGGCGGTTTCTGGTCCTGGGCGTGCGCCAGCAGGTGCTGCACGAGGCTGGTGCGGCGCTGGAAGCCGCGGCCGCAGTCGGCGCACAGGAAGGCGGGCTCGGAGGAGTGGGTGAGCAGGTGCTTGCTCAGGTGCCAGCTCTGGCGGAAGCGGTGATCGCACAGGTGGCAGGCGTGCGGCCGCTCGTCCGTGTGAATGCGCTTGTGCAGCTTGAGGATGGAGCTGCGGCCGAAACTCTTCCTGCAGCACAGGCACAGGAAGGAGCGCCCGGACGGGTGCGAGCGCAGCCTGGTGTGCCTTCAGGCGAGACAACTGCGGGTAGCTCACCCCGCAGTCCGCGCAGATGAACTGCAACTCTGGATGGCTCGGGGGCGCCCTCGGCCACTTTGACCTCCAATATTTCACTGCCACCAAGAAGGGACCCATCTTGACTGGGGCCGCTGTCCGCAGGTCCCGGTCCGAGTGTCTGGGCCGGAGGCTCTCCTGGAGCCCCAGGACTGTCTGCCTGGGACTCTGCTAAGATGGCAGCGGGCCAGGCAGCCCCTTTGGGGTCTTCTTGTTTAAACTCCTCCTTGTCTGGAGTTC